GGATGGATGGATGGATGGATGGATGGATGGATGGATGGATACCGGGAAAGAGAGTTTGTGTGTGTATGAGAGAGAGAGGGATGGAAAGAAAGCGAGAGGGAGAGAGTGAGAGAGAGAGATATAAAGAGAACGACAGACAGAAAGAGACGCAGAGAGAGAGAGAGAGATAAAGAGAGCGACAGACAGAAAGAGACGCAGAGAGAGAGAGAGAGCGAGAGAGAGAGAGAGAGAGAGAGAGAGAGAGAGAGAGAGAGAGAGAGAGAGAGAGAGAGAGAGAGAGAGAGAGATCATTTGCAATTAACAGCATTAATTTGTGAGTTGCCTGCTTCTGCTTTCAATCTCCACATGCGACAAGATAATCTCCATTCGTAGTCTTCCCACTTTACAATATTATTATTTTCAATTTCTGTATCAAGTTGTCCATGCCAAAGGCAACCACGTAACGAGAATGTACCAATTATCCTGAGTGGACTATATATAGGCTACACCGGATGGAACGCTAGTGGTGCCATTATCTGAATCAGTGTTTCCCATTTAGTGGCCGTATACCGATCCACATTTCAGGGGTCGTGATAAGATTTACACACACACACACACACCCACACACACACACACACACACACACACACACACACACACACACACACACACACACACACATACAAATAGCCTCAATTTGATCATCTATTTTCTTTTAGATTCTAATTTTTATAAATAAGAATAAATTCTTCATTTTGTTTAAGAAAATGTATGCGGTCCGCGGGGAACTCAAGAAAAAAGTGTGGTCGGCGAGTGTTAGCTAACTGGCAACCTCAGGTATATAAGTCAACATAACTGATTCCTGGTCGTGGCGCGGGAAGGGATCTTGTTGCCAGGATCTGCATCTGCAAACATGACATTGCTTTTTTGTTCTCTGCTTTTGACGAACAGAAAGGATTCACACAATCTACTGAGGAACACTGACATTTTTTTTTTGAAATACTGTCACACAAATGTGTCTTCTTCACGTCGTGGAAGCTCATATTTTGTGTTCATTAAATTTTTCACCGGTCCTGCTGCAGTCTTATTTGTTGTCCATATAACACCCTCACACAGTTCTTTCGGTTTTTGGATGCGAACATATTTACATCCCATTGGTCGACACTGAGAATGAACGTGGTCTTATCACTGTTGTTTATTTAAAACGTGTATGTTAATGGACAGATCATTCTCATTGCGCATGGAACCATTTCAGTCCAAGCATGTTCTGATCCCATCCTCTGTAAATCTCGTAGCCAATAGCGGTTGACATACCAGTTCTTGTTTGTAGTGTTATTCTTTATTGACTTCCTTTTTTGTCTAGTCCCATCCTGTTTAGCGAGCTGTTCGTGAAGTCTGGCCATGGCTGCAGATTAAGTCATCAGTTGGTGCTCGCAAACATCTTACTTCTCGTAGACCAGTCAGTTTATCAGTCAGCCTGGTCCGTGGCTCGTTCTCCCCACACAGCAGCCTTGCCTGCAAGCATATCAGCCTATTCGTTTCTTAATACGCCTGCATTACCTGGCTCCAAATGCAGTTTATCTTTATCAGCCATTACCGACTCAGAGATTCTAACCACTGACTTCAGAACCAGCCCTTCTCTGTCTGTCTGAGCAAACTCGTTGAGTTGTCAATGCTTAAAATGTTCATCTGTACATTTGGCGGTCACAATTCCCTTTAAGGATTACTGTTGGTAGGATCTAATTACCTCCCCTATCTAATTTACAGTAAACATCTTCTTACCTCCCCTGTCAGCATTCACATTAAACGTGTTGTCTTGTCCGCCTCTACCTCCAGGAGGCCCCCTGTATGAAGGCGACATTGAGGAACACAAAGGAGCCTGTCACGTGATGTGTCCCTGGCACGCTTTCATGTTTGACTTGACCACCGGAGAATCGGACATCGGACTTAAGGTCAGTGACCGCGATACTTATAGGAGTTCATTTTGTCTGTTCATGTTTATGTTTATTATGTTTATCTGATGGATCAACATCATAGCACAAGGATGGTAACCCATAAGTGCTCAGTTCTACTTCTAACTCAAGCGCAAGAACATCGAAGAGCTCATCGCATAAGGATCCACAAAGCTGGCATCCGTCCCATCAGGTGGTGCTGTGTCTGCTGCCCTTGTTGCTGCCACCGCTGCTGGTGCTGCTCCCGCTGCTGCAAAGAAAGAGGAAAAGAAAGAAGAGTCTGAAGAATCTGAAGACGACGATATAGGCTTTGGATTGTTGGATTAAACTTCATTGCACATTTTTCATTCATTAAAGTGAATATAATTTCCACAACAACAACAAAACAAAAAAAAAGCCTGAGTCTGAAGAATCTCAGCGCATTGCATGAACTTTGTTCCACCGGCAAGGATCCTGGTATACTTTGTTAAGATTTTAAACTCCAAATCTTGCCCGGGCAGCGCCATTAGGCTTGTCTTTTCGATTTAAAACTGCCTAAAAATTTTTTACGTGCGCAAGAATACACACGGGCATCCGATCTTACTAACCAGAGACCAGGGGAAATTACTTAAAGTCCATGTGAAAAAACCATACACTTCATTTTTTGTTCTATAGATCAAATATATTTCTCAACTTCCTTTGTCATGGGCTCATATTATATTAACCCCCTTCCCACGCCACCAACCATCGGGTTACTATTATGACAAGTGATGTCTCATAATCGTATTGTTGTCATCAAGAATGTCACTTGTTCTTGAGAACATATCTGTTTGTGTGTGTGCTTTTTTTGCACCTTTTATTTGACACACCTGTTCTTACGTAACACACATGTTCTTTAAGTGACATACCTGTTCTGTGGCACACCTGTTGTGTATGTAACACACCTATTGTGTAAGTAACACACCTGTTGTGTAACACACCTGTTCTTCCTGGTTGCAGCAACAAGTGTTCCCAGTCAAGTGTGAGAACGGTCACGTGTTTGTGGAGTACATATCCCAGCTAGCACTCTACCCCTACCTCTAGAAGTGCCCAGAATCGTCGCTATAGGGTCGGACAGAAACAACGCAAGATACAGGAGGCACAACAGAGCAAACATCTCCAGAGAGTCGGACAGAAACAACGCAAGATACAGGAGACACAACAGAGCAAACGTCTCCAGAGAGTCGGACAGTAACCAGACAGTAGTTACACTAGTGGACACTCTGAGAGCTAGCTGGCGGTGTAGACTCAAATAAACATCCAGTTTATAAACAGCAACAAGTGTGTTGATGACATGTCTCCTTATTATGTGGATTTATCTATGACTGGATCGTTGTATATCTTTAGCACTCTAAAGATTGTCACCCCCCCCCCCCCCCCTTGTCTCTCTCTCTCTCTATATATATATATCACTTTCTGTCTCATTCTGTTTACCTTCCTCATATATCCCTGTTTTTCTCACTTGTTCAATATATCTATGTCGCCTTCTCCCTGTATCTCTTACTTCTCTCTTTCTTAGTCTGTTCTCTTTCTCTTTACTTCAATGTTCTTTTAACTTCCTCTTTCTCTGCATCTCTTTTTGTTTCTCCCCCTCTGTTACTCTCACTTTCCCTTGCCGTCTCTCTCAAGATGTAACCACAGGGCGGGGAAGCCAGACTGTGCTGTCATAACGTGTGCTCTGCTGTAAGAATGTGACAAACTCACATCCTATTTCTTTGACACTTTAAACTGTGGTCCTCTCCCTGGCCATACGTCAATCTCCCATTACCGTTTTAAAATCGTAATTCCATTTTCCAATTCTCTGCGAGGAAGTTCCCGCATTTTCAATCAATTTTCTAGACCATATAATGTATTAATCGCCCAGAGTGGTCTGAAAAGCAAGTTATGGATTTTGTGTGTGCCTGCTGGCAATGAGGTATGGCTTCAATTGGCAGACTGCAGATCTAACACAGAAATCAGGCACCTACTGCTATTATTCCTAGAAAGTAATACAGGCACAAGGAAACATTATGGAAAGTAAAGAGGGGTCGAGATGGTACCGATCACACATCTAGTGACTATGGGTTTATACAAACATAAGACCAATAATCTGTGCACAGTTCACAATGCCAAAGCCTGGTACTGGGTCCTTTATTGACTTTACTACTATTCAACTTCTGGGATCCTAATGGAGCAGCGATGTGCAGTACAAGACTTTCAATGTCTAGCCTCTCTTGCCCAACTCTGTCTAATCTTCACATAGTGAACTTTTTGTTCTTCCAAATAATCCAGTGGAAAGTTGGGGTTTCAACGAACAAGACAAAGGCAAAATCCGGCTCCATCGGTCAGCCACTGATCTGAGTGCAAGGTGCAACACTGTGAGCTGTGAATGTCATGGCGAATGTGTATTGTCTGTGCTCCCAAAGATGTGTGTATAAACTGCATATTCAGAAAAGGAAAAAGCTGAGGAAGAAGAATCAGAAGATGTAGCAAGAAACTGTTCAATTAAAAAAGCCGCGTTCTCAAGAACAAAACTCTTTAACAATGGAAGACAATTTGATAAGACAACTTAAAGAAACACAATTTAAAGAAAACTTATTTATAAGACAATTTAAAGTAATAAGATAATTTAATGGAAGACATGTTGCAGTAAATAAAAATGTGTCCAAACCACCTTAATTAACAAAACAATTCAGTGATAACTTATTGATCACATGTCACATAATACTCGTAAAGTGATGATGTTAACATCATTACATGACCTCAGAGTGAAACCTGCCGGTACCATCTGCAAGAACATTACGGGAGACATAACCAACTTCTCCTGAAAGCAATCAGCAAAGATACCTGGGGTGGCTGCTGAATGTGAGGACTGAGGTTGCATGGGAATGCCTGAACCATGAAAAAACTGATTGTGTGAATATAAGAAAACATCAAACGATAGTGGTTACCCTCCCAGTTTGCTGTCCTAGAGACATGAGAGGCACTATTCTTTACTGGACTTGGACAGCAAGGTTAGGTTAGTTGCGTATCCTTTACAGGGCGTTGCAGAACCAACCCCAACAGCCCCTGGCTGTTGTGTGGTTTTTCTAGGCAAATTTACGTCCAGTAGTTTGTCATTGCTTTCTGGACAGTTGGCTTTCTTGATACCACTGTCGAAACCAACGCAAGGCGCATGGCTCGCAGCTGGGATCAAACCCGGCATTACGAAGCGTTCGCATCGACTTGGCCACAGAGCCGACAAACAGCAAGGTACACAGGCAATAACTGGTCTAGCCAGTTTGTTCGCAGTAATTATAACTACAGACACTTGTCTGTTGGGCTGTTTCTTGGGTGTGAACCTGAATTCAGGGGAACCTTGACAAAAGTTGACCTTGGCTCCCAGGTCGACCAAGTTTAAAGTTAGTACAAGCAAATGTCATGGAAAGTAATGGTAACTGGCCAGATGTTTGACTTGATGTTGAACAAGGGCCCTTTATTTATAGACTTACTTATTCACTCTCAGACCCAACACGGGACGCAATTGTTTTTTAAAGCCCAATCATGGCTGCCTTCGGGGGGCCCAAATATAACCTAATGGTTGAATAGGGGTTTCTAGGACTTGTGCCCGGGCGATTCTCATCCAAATGATGGCACTTTGTGTCACCGGGTGTTTATCGCTCATTGTGCAGTCCTCTTGGGGTTGAATCTCACTGACTCCCCTTATTATACCCTGTTAAAATCACCATCGATCACTAGCATCATGAGAGCGAACAGACTGAGACAGCTGGGGAATACTGAGCGGATGTCATGTGACAGAGAGTTCAAACCTGTACATGAGGGAGCTGAATGGTCCTAGATCACGAGAGGGCAGATCGTAGACCACGAGCGAGAGGGCAGATCGTAGACCACGAGCGAGAAGGCAGATCGTAGACCACTTGCGAGAGGGCAGATCGTAGACCACGAGCAAGAGGGCAGATCATAGACCACGAGCAAGAGGGCAGATCGTAGACCATGAGCAAGAGGGCAGATCGTAGATCACAAGTGAGGGGACAGACCAAGAAGATGAAGGAGAGATAATGTCTAGAGAGACCTGCCAACACGTGCTGTCATCAACTAGAAAGAGAAGGCCAACCAGAGAGATGAGTGGAGGCGGGTGACATCTGCAGCAATGAACCTCAAGGGCACAGAATGATGAAGAAGAAAGTAAACCAGAGAGATGAGTGGAGGCAGGTGATCAACATAATCGTAATAGATCAACACTTAGAGCACTAATGTGGTTACAATGTGATCTACATGTGGTTGTACTGATACCTGATATCTATAGATCAGGGGAAGATCAACAATTAGAGCATCCCTATGGTTACAATGTAATCTATAAGTGGTTTTCTTCATCACTTGATAATCACAGATCAACAGTTATTTTAGAGTATCTCTATGGTTACAATATCATCTCCATGTGGCTGTCCTCAACACTAGATAACCAGAGATGTGAAGCATTCAGATCTGCTGGTTACAAGATTTTCCACATATGTCTACAACTGCAGGGTCCCTCAATGTGATACATAAAGTAGTAGTAGCAGCAGCACTTGTATTAGTAGTAGCACCAGCAGTAATAATAGCAGTAGCAGCATTAATTATTGCAGCAACAGCAGTAATTATTGCAGCAGTAGTAGTAGCAACAGCAGCAGTAGAAGCAGCAGAAGTTTCAGCTGAAACTATCAACTGAATATTTACACGATCAGTTCAGAAAAAAAAAATAATAATAATTCTGGGTAAAATAACATGTGACAATAGTAAAAATAAATACTACAGAGCATCTAGTAAATAACCTATTTATGAATACAACCAATGAGATTCATTCTTCGACGCGTGATGACCTACTTTACAACTACAACTAATTAGATTCACCCCCCCCCCCCCTCTCCCAAATTCTGCTTCCAAACACTCTGCATATAAGAATGTATGCATGAAGAAAGAAGCAATGCACTCGGGGCATTCCCATACCTGCTCCACCCCTTCCTCAGAAGCCAACAAGTTCCCACGATGATAGTGTACTACAGCCTGGCTAAAAGTGCATCTGTACTCTTCCCTAAATTTTGCAAGTGATCCAGACCCTGTGTCTACTCCCTGATGAAACACGTGCATCTGTACTCTTCCCTAAATTTTGCAAGTGATCCAGACCCTGTGTCTACTCCCTGATAAAAGACGTGCATCTGTACTCTTCCCTAAATTTTGCAAGTGATCCAGACCATGTGTCTACTCCCTGATGAAACACGTGCATCTGTACTCTTCCCTAAATGTTGCAAATGATCCAGACCCTGTGTCTACTCCATGATGAACCAGTCTTTTGAGGTATGGATACTCTGTCTTCCAATGTATAGTCCAACCGATCCTAGACAGCTAACAGGCATGCTCCGTGCAGAGTGGCAAGCATCACTTTAAAGGTCCCGGGTAGTAAGCATCCTTTGAATATTTTCTCCAGGTCATGTCGGTGTGTTGGGAAATGAGCAGGCAGATAGACTGGCCAGTTCTGCGCTACTTGGCGGTGAACTGATGTATAACAAGCTGGATGTTGTGAGGGCCCTTTGGGAATGAGTGAACAGTGCAGAGGCACAGATTGTGATCATTACGGTCTGAGGAGAATGACGCGAGAAGTTACAAGGGGATCAGGCCGACGCTCGACACTCAGGAGAAAGGCGAGATGGATATACAATCATATAGTTACAGGTACAATTGAAATTTTTACTCCTTGCTTGCAGCTGAAGTTGGGGACGGAGCGCTTATGGGGGTGTCCTGACTGCTGTGAAGTCGATTCTTAATTCAACATTTCTAGACAGACTTCATCCCTACCACCTGATCATAGTTCCATCAATTCTGTACTAAGCCAGCAAGTCTAAGTCAAACATATTTGACTGTGTAAAATGATAAAACAAAGGTTGTAAGAATTTAGCAATAAACCCACCACACCTGTGGTAAAATTAAAACAACAAAAAATGTAGTAATAAAAGTAGTGTGAATTATGCTTAATTGTATAGAAATACTAAACAGCATTAAAAAATTTGTGAAAATACATATAAAGATTG